GCACCATTTTCTGAAAAGCCGGACTCCTACCTATATTACTGCAGAAATAATATCAAATTGGATAACGTAAATGTGCAGAGCCAAACGGGCCATAACCGTACCTTTCTTTTCAATATTGATTTTGAAAATCTTATTACTACATTTGTGAAACTTCCCACATTGACATTTAGGCCCCAAGGCATAGAAAGATGGCCGATCTTTTTCGACCGAAAGGGCGTTTGGATACGAAAAAAAGGCGGGTTTTATCAACGGAATAGGAACACAACTCAGTAGAGTCGAATGATAAACTTTGACCCTTAGGAAAATAAGTTTTAGGATTTTCGTATGAACGAATAGGAACAAATGACAGCGTATCTTGAAACGAATGGACTACTCAATTAAAACCAGTCTAGTTTTGGGAAATGCTATACCTGCTCGACCCGATACGAACCGGAATTGAGCCGTACGTTTTGTCGACCCCATGGACACATCACATAGCACGTAACCTAGCGTTGTACTTTTCAAATTTGATCGGTTCTATTTTTATCCTTTAGCCTCCTAATATCAATTGTCGTGCTTTACGGTGAATCGTCGGTATTGGCAGATTATAAGTAAGTCATATGAGACGTTGATGTATTAAGCCTCTGACATTTAGGCTATCAGTAATACAGTGGCTATTAATAGCACAATCGAACGTGCTGGCAATTTCTTAGAACAAATTTACGCCAGTCGATCTCCGCGTAGCGAAAGCTTGATTCAACGGGAACAAAGCGGTCACACGTGAAGACGCGCATACTGGTCTTTTCCATACCTCAACGCACAGCTTCTCAGCTGTTGCTTTAATTCGATAGATCGCTCTAATGCTATTTAAGGCTATTTTTGATGACACAATCTCAAGTAACAAGCCACGAGACCGAGCTATATTACAAAGTCTCCAGAACAACAAACCCTTCGATGAAACACATACTCAGGCCATAACACTGTTGAGCTCTATAATCCATTTTTCTGCGTTATAGCAATTAGGAAAAATACTGTTTTCTTTCGTGCCGTGTAAATCGATCGTTTGTAAATTTCCCAGCATCGTTTACTGTGCATATTCACCGGACCTTTCAACTTGGGGTGATGCAACTGCAGTAACTCGACTATCCTTGAACAGCTCGATAAGTTCAGTGTGGTCCATAACCCTCAACAAGAACCCATAGCAGTGGTAGCCCTAAAAATCAAGGTTTGTCACAGCATTCATATCGTATATTGCGCCTTGAGTAAAAGAAGCCTAAAGGTGAAATCGTTTGATACAAAGTCGGAGGGATACATATGGAGGTTGCTTGGCGTGTGCACTTCACGACTTCTGCAGTTATTTTCCAGAGCCAGTTGACTTTTAACTTATTTAGGAATGGAATCTTGCTCCGTGCTACAGATCATCTGTTAGCATGTGAGCCAGCGATCACGGCGAGCAGGTATGGCAATTTCCGTGCACCTGTATTAACTCGTATATTACTTACTGCGTAGCATTTGTGTTTTTCTTATCTCTGATTTACGACTTACAGAAAACCTTGTTGAGGAAATACGAAGCGAATTTTGTAAATTTGTATGTATGTTTTTTACCAACTCGTTAGTTCATGGGAGTTTGTACTATTTGTAAATAATACGCATCGTCCAAAATGGTACTTTGTCGTTGGCATTCATTCGGTATCTCTGCACAGTAATCCTATGATACTACGGTACAGATCTCATTTTTAAGATCCTAGTCGCTATAGGTGTAATCAATTAATGCAAACGCGAAAGTACTTGGCGCTGGTCAAACTGACGCCTGCTACAATGTTATTATATAAACAATAGTTACGAGCTGGTTGACAAACCTGTCGAGAACCGTTTGTTTCTATTTAGTCGGTCTTGAGCGCACTAAATACGTAGACAGTGCAAAAACGTTACGATTAAGCATCGTTAAGAGGTACCTGCGCAAGTTATGTTGATCACGAACTTGTTTTGAAAATGATTAATCAACTTGTCCTTTAAACGCGTATGCACCAAATACATACAGTATAAATTGGTTTTGGGTGTGATTCCTGCCAGGGCTTAAACTAATAGCCATAGGTAATGCGAATGCTGGCCCCGCATCAGGAATTGACTGTGGCTGTTCTATGAAGGAAAACAAGATCAAAATAACTTATCTAGATTGAATTATAATGGAGTGTCTTTCTGTTACGCTACCGAGAGTCTCGCAGCCTATCTGCAACAAGGCCTGTTGCAGATAAAATGCAAATTATTTACTGGCAGCTTATTGGTATCGTTTCTAACCAGACAGCATCATGTGTTGGTATAAGTCGGCCAGGCAATTTTAAGCGATCAACCGCTGTTACCAATAGGCAAACTTATAATAGACAACGTAGTTCCTCTACCGTTGATGACGACTGGACGAAATACTCTTTAGTAGGAATTATGGGTAATTAGTAGGAACAATTATCTAATTGTACTTTATTTGGCTTAAAAATAATGCTCCAGGACAACATAGGCTATGTAAAATTGTGCTATAAGTAGCAAGTCCAAAAAGAATAAAGGGCATTGATCTTCCCGTGGTGGAATAGGCATTTCTCAGAATGGCCTTTTTTATGGCCCTTTGATTATAAATATTCCTCAAAGTACATCCTAAAATACAGCAGTAGACTTATTAGCATAAGCTGGCAAAAGCGCAGAAAGGTTAGCTAGTACAGAAGAAGGAAGATAAAGCCTTTAGGAAAAGATAAAAAAGAGTTGATGACTTACACAGGAAACTAATACTGACGGGTTTCAGCTTCGATAAAAAAGATAACGAAAAGTTTTCTCTTACTTAAATTCGTTCGCCAGAACAGAAAAAAACAAAGCCGATTGATTAACCCGAGATCTAATAGGATACGATGAGTAATTTTATAATATAAGAAAAAACTTTTAACGCGCACCAAACTATTTGTTATCTTTTACGATGATTCCACTAATGTACGCATAAAAGCCAATCTCCTAAAAAATGTATTCTTTGCTAAGATATGTTCACGTCACTCGTTTCTAGGGTTTGTGAAAAGGTCCTTACCCACCTTGTAATGGTCTCTTTCAGCTGAAGGCTTGCTGCCATTAATTACCGTACTGATTTTCATTCAAGGAAGATGAATAAAATGCTCGCCAGTGTTTCAAGTGTGGTGAACATATTTATGTTAAATAGAAAAGTGTGTCGTTTGATTAATACAAATGAATGCTAAATTAGTCAGAGCCCAACCTTTGATTAGGACTTGAGTTTATCATTTCTACGTTCATATTCGAGTCTCTGTAGTTCTTCAGGGACTACTTTTTTTCTAGCTGCTCTTTTAGACAGTAAAATATCCAACTAAATGAATAGGAAGAACCCTACTTATGATAACAAGCTACGTATGATAAGTGACCAAAGTTTACACTGATTGCCTTTCAATATCAAAATATATGCTGTAGTTTCCTGTATGTAGAATTTATCCCTGATAAACAAATTCAACTAAAAAAAAAAGCAGAAACAGAGTTCCTTAAAATCACTAGTAGCATCTTAAGCTATTTTCGTCGCTCTCAAATAACCTCTTGGACCTCTTCGATTTCTTTTTCGAAGATTTTCAAATACAGTCAATTTTTTCTTGTTTGAAGAAAAGTAAAAATCGATAATTATCGACCCTGAACCTTTCTCTGCAAAACTTATAAAATACAAATGTACAGTACCGTAGTAATTTGTAATAAAAATCAGTATGCAGACGCTTAATAGATACAGGTGACATTTTGACAAACCTTTAAAGAAACGCATTATATAACTAACAAACTTTCGGTTTTTTGTAGAACCTATGTAACATAAAGGAGGCTAATTGATAACTGTTGGTGAAATAAACCATTGCTGGATCATGTTCTGATATCTGGAATGGAGACATATTGCTCAGCTTCAACCACTTCAAAAGTATGTGCCTCAGCCGCTGCAAAAAGGACCGGACGCCCTTAATTTCAAAAACAAAAACATACTTTAACAGTAAAGAAAGCAATCTCTTGTCAGAATATTTATCTAGTGTTGCGCAATAAATATATTAACCAGCAACTAGTTCTTTCTTTCTTTCTTTCAAAAGTATGTATCAATCTAGTAGTAATCTCCTGTGTGGGGCGTGCAACACCTTGGGTGGGGGTACGAGGCATCAAAAAATGAATTTTCTTCAAAATTTAAGACTAGCTAGTAAGCATTGTAAGATAGCCCGTATTCAGTTACTGCTTCTGAGATACCATTTAGGAGAACCTTGTGTTAATGTTTATGGAGAAACATTTCTCATTTAATTGACTCTAAGTGACGTGCTTAATTAATCAATATACATAGTATTATTATTAACTATGAAGAGCACACTCGCTGAATGAAACTCAAGACCTTTAAACATCCGAGATAAGGCTGATAAAACCCTTTGTTATGTTGCCTATCTCTTTTATGGTTTGTATTATAAAGCACTGACAGAAACTACCACTCAGTGTAAACTCTTTGAGAAAATACTGAGATAAACTCACTTGTCCCTTGGAAGAGCTTCTTGGTAAGTACAGTGAGGCGATGCGAACTAATATCCATAGATATAGTTCCGACAATTGATATTATCATTTGCTTCTGGTTGGAGCGAAAGGGTGAGAAAAAAAAAGCTAAACCATTTTGTCAAAAAAGCGGAAAATGTCAACGTTCGCACGTTGCGCATAAGGAGTAGGAATCAGATAAGCTCTGCTTGTTCTAAAAAAACATGGTGTAACCACGCTAGGGTTAATAAGAACATAATTTACTAATTTCTAGTTCAGTTTACTGAAAAAAATCACGTAATACACCAGGCAGAAGCAATAGACGAGTTTGCAATAGCAATGCTTTGCAGCTGCTTCCTACAGAAGCGATCCTACGACTGCGCTATAGAGCCGCGAACCTTGTTGATTCTTGGCGAAAATCATTGTCATAGCTGGAGAAACTTTCTCTTTCTTAATTGTTGTATCAATCCTTGTACTAGAGGGCATTCAGCACTTACTTTGATGTTGCGTCAGGGATATTTGTTCATCTAGTCGAATTGCATGGCTGAATCCATAAAGCTTTACCGGGGCTGATGTATCCTGCACAGAACGAGAGAAGTGTTATTTATTTCGAAAGGAACCTCGTGATCTTAGACACGGGATGCTAAGGTACACCTAAGCTTTAATTTTTAAGCAGGTATTATAGGAACTATGTTAAAGGAAGAACGGTATTGAAAGTTAACAAGGGTTTTCTTCTAATCGCAAAATGTTTTTAATCCAACTTGCTAGTGTTTAATAGTGGTTAATAGCCGGTTGTTTGTTGTTATTACTTTTGTAGCAAGAAGGACACAGTGTGGTCGAATGTCTCGATGAATAACGTCTCTCTGATGACAGTAACGAACTGCCGACAGGATCTGTCGCATATAGTACGACGCTACGGTCTCCGAATATACAAAACCAGCACAGGCTCGCGAAACAACTTCCATGAAAAGATCGGATCCTTCCATACTGAAACAAAAAATAATCATTAATATTGTTATTAAAAACATACTGCTATCGACAATCATACAAACTTACACAGTATGTACGCCATTTAGATGTTTTAAGTTGGTACTATTTTTAGCTTCGGACTGTGGGATATTTGCAAGCTTCGATTCTGCTAATGGTATTGTGTAATGGAAGTAAGCTTATAGCTCGTGTTACCAAGTAAGTAAATAATTAGAATTTTTAAAAGTTTGGCTCGAAATAGGGGTCATTGTTATATTCTTTTTTTTAATATTTCGACTCTTTTAGTTATTTGAATACGATAAGCACAACTACACAAGTTTTGTTAAGTATGGTAATTAAGCCTGCAAGACGCAGGCGAAAATAGAGTTGTTGCCCTACACCGAGCTACTGCCAATCATTGATACTTGCTCGGCTAAAATGATGTAATGCCATCGTTTAGATAACTAGCAAACAACTTACAATTTTGTATCATTCCGCCTAAAGATGTAGAGTCCTATATTTAAAGGCGGGTGTCCCTGTTTCTTTTATCCCTTTGAAACATATTTTCGAAGAAGCAGGTTGCAGCAGACGATAGTACTGCAGGGCTCGGCTTATTCAATCAAAAACGTGGAGTGGCTTAAGTTGACCATTATAGTTCCTTGCTCCTCTTTGTTGTTTTTAGTGAGCCGTCCAACATTATCTGATAAGCTGCGTTACGCAGATGATTTTATAACGTTAAGCTAAAACTGCTTCCTTTTTCAGCAGAAAATGTCTACTTTTTGCGGCTGTGTTAGTAAGCGATGTTGAAAGATGAGAGAACGGAATTTGCGATTTAACACAAGAAAACGATGAAACGATTTAACGGAAGAAAACAATGTGATTTTCTCAGTTAAAATAGCACTAGTTACTTCCGACCTTCCAACAGGAGCGTTCGGTGTGCTGCTAATCTGAGGGCTCCTCCGGCCGTAGCGCATTAAACTTGCATTCCTAAATCGCGTTTTCGGACTACCCGCAACCAATAGATATCGCCTGGTGCACCAACCGCAACCAATTCCATCAAAACTTGCCTCCGGTTCAAGGTCGGCAAAAAAAAACTGGATTCGCGATAAGCAGCGGCTCATTTGTCCATAAGTATATAGGGATAGTGGACAGGGGATTATCATAGACCAGGAAACGCCTGTCCATAGACCAGGAAACGCCTGTTCACGATTGTACGCGATGCAATAGGCATTGCAATTGGTATGATGTTAGCCATTGCCCTACCGCGATCTCGACTGCAGGACTTTCACGCTAGGGTTCAATCTTCTATATTTAAAATCGTGTTTTAAATATAGTCTACATTTGCCGTGTAAATGTGCCACACGAAAGTGTTAATAAATGCAGATAAAAACATTTAACATCGTCACGCAATCCTTGTTTAGAAACGCGAGTATCCAGCCCATCATAGTTAAGAAACTTGCATTTAAACCTATAGAGAGCAAAATTCCAAGTCAGCATGAAGCTTTGATGGCCCCTGGCAAAAGAACACACAAACCAAGTAACTCCCAAATTTCGACAAAAAATGTCTTTAATATAATGGGTACTGTTCTACAATAGCTGTTAGAAAAAATATACAATTTTGTCTAGACTTGCGACACAAACGTCACTATGTCTTCTGTGCCGCAAACAAAATCTATTACTAGTAATCGCGTCATTAAAGCGAATTACAGACTCTATAGACATGCTTTATACATCACAGATTATAGAATCGAAAATTCTACCGACAGGTTGTTGACGATTCATATACATTCAACAAGAACTTGGCAGCAGGTTCTTAGAGGACATATTCCTTCTTCACGATCAGGTAATCTTCGTTTAGCGAAAAGAGAACTCGATATTGCATTGCAGGGACGCCCACTGACGCAATGAAGCGCGAGGTAAATTTGACTTCAGCGCAAGCGTCTAGGATTCTACGAATGTCTCAACCAACTCCCTGGAACGGCTGGCTATTAAAAATTAATAAATTTACAATGACATAGTGCTTTACTAATCCGCATTACATCGATTAAATAGACTGAATACAATAGATAAACTACCACGAAAATCCAGACATGGACCCAAACTATTGGGTATTACGAGAAATAAGACTATGCCCTGTCGGCAATTTGCAGCGGTCGATTTTCGCAAAATTTGAAGAAAGGTAGAGCTCGCATATTTAGTGAAAATTATTTGATTTACGTAGTTGATTATGTCCAGCAAAGCATTTCCGGCACTCCAAAGCCATAAAGACAATCCCAATAGATTATCTTATTTTGTAGAACGGTCAAAACATAACAGTTTGTCAGCAAATACGCACGAAATGTAGTTAACAAAAAATGTAGCAAAAAGGTAATGGTTCTTTAGACAGCCCTGTAACATTATTGAAAAGGGGCAGATTTGTTCTCTCTTATGCTAGCGAATTTAGGCAAAACGTTGTTTGTTGAAACAAAAAAACCTTCGCACTGATATGCAGGCTGTATGAACTTATTCATAAACCATGCTGCACGCTATAAAAGGAAAGGGCTAATTCCTAAGCAGCAGGTGCTCGCCCCAAAAAAATTAAAGGGGCTACATGACTAATTGGTAGGCTAACGACCGGCTTTTCCCACCTCACATTCATACTGTTATGACATGGACCATGCTTTTTAATTGAAAAGGCTTACAATTGCCAAAAAATTACCGTTGTACTGTTCTTACATTGGAGAATTCAGTGGCCCAATCGATTGAAAACGAAAACTTTCTTTTTTCATTTTTTTTTGATTTGACAAACAAAGCGTCACTTCCTAAAGGTCGTACAGTATGTGGGCGATGTCTTCATGCACTCAACGAGCTGCTCTCACGGGCAATAGACAATTTCATTGCTAGCGTGATGATCAGATCACAACTAACGCTTCCGACACCAAAGAAGTGAAGTTCAGAATAGGCGACTTTTTCGTTGATTTAAATGAACCTGGGCTTCAAAACGAATATGTGGCTTTGAACCTTCACTAAGCGGACTTTCAATCTGCTAGTGTGTGAACTAACATCTTACAAAGGCAACTAGGCCAACCCAATCATAGTTACTCGGTTTTTTTTTAACTCAAAGAGTGTGCTTCTAGCTAATCGTTCGGGAACTTCAGAAGCATTTTGCTCTAAAGAATTTAAACGGGCTGGGTCGTTCCAAGGCCTTCTAGTTAAACACGAAAGGGCGCACGAAACTAATTGCAAGACATTTGTTTACCTAACCGTTAGAACGTCAGACTTCACTGTAGTCAAATAGAGCTAGGCTAACAAAAACTACCGAGAGCACCTAGTGCGCTCAGAAGCAAAGATGCCGATTATTAACTTGGACTGTTAGGAGACCAGGAGGTTTTTTGAACAGGTGCCTATATCACACTCTTGGAGTTGATGCTTGGATTTTGTTAAAGTACTTCTTAGACAAATGATTTCTCTTTACTGGGCTTAACCTGCATTGGCCAGTTCTACGATTGTCGATGCCAAACATCTTCTGATATTATTTTCATTGTTTTCGATTTGAACGATAAAATAATAAAATGTGTTACTAAAAGCCTCATTAGCAATAGAATTTCCAGTTGTAAGATAAGGGATGCTATAACCTGTTGGAGACTGGGCACTGATACCTCCACTGCCACGAAAAAGGCTAGCTTTGGATTTGCATTGCGAGAGGGATCTAGACGCGTGCTACATATTCGGATCAAGCAACATATTTTTGAAGGTTATTGAATAGGAATATTTGTTATACTACTAGTTACTGTTATGTCATACATGACTCAGCTGTATGCAGGTTAGCTGACTAATTCGATCGTGACGAGCATATCCAATAGGACCCCGTCAAAGGAAGCATTTGACTTGAACTGCTCTAAATTTAAACAAGTTTCAACATTCTGTTAAAGCTTTTTGGACGATAAAGTAATACCGACAGACGTGTGTGTCTGGCCGGTCGGATAGAAGGAACTTTATGCGAGCTTGTCACTTTCCTTTTACTTCCTATTGCGTCTGAGAGCTTGCTACTATGCCGTATAGCTCATACGACGCTAAACTTATATTGCTTTAATTATATAGTAAATAATTGCCAATTGTTCTTCTAAATGCTACAAAACTTCATATTCCGGTTTATTTTTTTCCCTGGAGCTCGCGTTTGTGCTTGAATGCGGCTTCAGCGGATGCCGCGAGGTGCTAATCTAGTCAGCCTTTCAAAACAATAATACGTTGTTGTATCAGTATTACACTTGAAACTGAAGGGCGCCGCAAGCCAACGATATCTTGGAACTCTGTTCCGCTTAACGGAAGTACAAATGCTCATAGGAAATAAACAACTATAAATCGACTAGTCACTTTTGATATTGACAGTGGTATCGAGACCTATTCGATTTCATATCCGAATTTATTGGCTCAGATAATTTACTTTAAAGGGTATATTTAATCATTTGAATTGATAAATCACAAAGGTGTCGCAAGGCGCATATGTAGTATAAGATTGGTTGCCACCTGATCATATTCAAGCTTGTTGAGTATCCCAGACTGTGCTTTTAACATTTTGGTAAGTGGTATCTAAAAAATATGTGCTCTGCAGCGCACATAAGGCAGGATGTTTTAACTTATTTCTTCTCAAATAGCGGGAGCATTCCCTTCGTTGCAGTTATTGTTGCTTTCTCTCTTTAATGATAATATACCAAGTAGAGATTTGTCACGATTTGGAGCCGGCTCTCGTGTTGATTTTCTTCAGAGTCACCAGAAAATAAGGCCGCTTCCAGTTGAACTAGTTCTTTTTAATACTGAACGCATGCTTGCGTAAAAAGGTCCTATTTATGAAGCGGATCAGTTTGGTCCTTCGGTTTCGTTATGATAGGTAGTGACTGAAGTGCTGTTCATGTAGAAATTCTTTTCGATTAAAAAACACACTTCTCTCGTAGAAATTACAGAGTTACGCGAGCGGGAGACCTGGTCTCATCGTTAGCTAGGCTGCCTTACGTAAGTTTTTATTGATTTCATTTTTAAGTCCT